GAGAGAGAGAGAGAGAGAGAGAGAGAGAGAGAGAGAGAGAGAGAGATGAACGTAGAGGGTCCGACTTGTCAAATGTCAACGAAAAAGGGTTTCCCAACAAGGGTTCACTTGCCCCGTGTGCTTAATCGGGGAGGAAGCAGCTAGACGAGCTGGGCTTGACGTGGCTGTACTCAGGAGAAAACGAGAAAACTATTTGACATGTTTGAGTGTCCAAAGGCGGCATCACTTAGCCTTGAGAGGGAAAACAGTCACGTCCTGGCGCGGCATCGCATTGCTTGTATTGTACTGGAGCACTGGACCATTCACCTACGCTGCTCGCTGAAGACCGCTGTAGCACGTCCGCGCCAGGACTTGCCTATTCGATAGAATAGAAAAGAATAACATGCAGTCCCTGTTCCATGTTTGAGGGTCTTCTTTCTCGAAAAGCTCTTGACCATGCTGCACTTATTGCCTTAACAACAAAAGCAGTGTTGGGGCTCAGGAGGAGAAGGGTGCCCTTGAGGAGCGGAGCACCGTAGGGGGAGGGGTCGTGTTTTTCTCGTGTCACGGCTTTAGAGCTATAGACTACTGCAAGCAGTGGGGGTTCCCGAAGAAGGCGATGGTGGGGCAGCTGATGATGACCTTACATGGGGCAGCCGCCTTATCGAATATGTAGAACAACTTGATTCTCCCGTCCATGCCAGCCAACTTCACCCGCCTTGGATTCGGGGGGATAGGGCACTGCTTATATATGCTGTGCAAGGCATGATGTTTCACCAACACTGCTGTGTATTGATGCGCGGGGATTGTGTCCCAGAGTGTAGATCTACGTGTCGATCGATCATCTCCGAAGGTCCTCCGACAATATTCCGTGTTAAACAGATACCAGTCCAAACTCTTCAAGTCCGGACAAACCTCCGCGCGCCTACAGCAGTGGACTACTACACTGACTGCTGTGCTGCTGTCGAGCACTGCTGTCACGCTCCATGGGGCCGAAAGGGCGCCGACACACCACGCCGAAGCACGTGTTCAGGAAGTTCCACACACACACACACACCCAAGCACGATAAACGACAAAGCAGACGGACTCACCTTCACCAGAAGAGGCTGCTTGCAAGGATGCTCGTCCTCAAACGTTCTCACGTATTGCCCCCTCCTCCCCCCTCCGTCCCCATCTCTCGCAGCAGCAGCACCCGCTGTTTCCATGACGTCGTTGTTCCCGAGCTTAAGAGAAATGCGCTCAACCAAGCGCCCAATCGACCTCTTCGCCGACGGAGTCGAGAGTCCCAAGGAGGCACCCGGGGCGGCTGTTCCAGCTACTCTCTCGCGTGCTCTTCCGCCGTTGGGCATGCTACGGGTAACACAGCGCGTGTGCGTGTACGAGATGTGATGACTGCATGCCAACACCTTCGCCACTTTTTTCGTGCTTGGCGCCGCCAACTTAATTATGAAAAACGCCTCTTGTCTCAAATATCTCCGAGAATCTCAACAGTCCCGCCCGGGCCCCCGCCAGCAGAGCGCGGCACACAGCAGGGAAGGTGCTTCGCTTCAAGTGCTACAGCGAACATGCGGCATGCCTGTCTACAAGCAGCGGTGCCAGTGGCCGTACTCCTTTGCTCCTCGGACTGGTCTAGCGCTTTCATCGCGCAAGCTCCGGCCGCTGCTGCTAGCAGCAGCGGTTGCTCGTCTACGTCAACCTGCTCTGGTGCAATAAGGCAACCGCAGCAGGGCAGGCAGGCGACGGTTCTGCACCACCTCGACTGGAGACATCGCCCCGGGAGAAGTGCGCAGCACGTGGTGTTTTTGGAACGGTGAGCGGGGGGGCTAATGCGTGCAACAGTAACATTATTTCTACAGCATACGTACTTGTACATAGTGTAGTGGCTACCTATCGTTCTCTCTGAGCAGTTCCGTCAGACGTCAGCAGCCAGAAACAGCAGTCCACTCGAGGTCTGTGATGCTGCTAATTTGCATTCAGGGCGGTGTTCGATGCATCATGCCTGCCGCAGCGCCAGCGTGTGGTTTCGGTGCCGCTCTCACGAGCGCCCGCCCACCAACTGCTGCATCCACATCATGAGCACCTACTTACGTAGACCAGCATTTTAAGCGGCCACGAATTGGTGGAAGAACCCCCAAGAGCAACGCTCCGTGACTTCGACAGAAGATCACACATTGGGATCGGACGCCCGATACGTGTATTGCCTAGACCTGCTCGCGTCTTTTGTGATATGTATATTTCGGTCGTTCTTCCTGATGGGCGTAAACGAGGAGAGCACAAACCCGTGTAGGGGAGGGAAACCGCGGTTCCTCGCCAGAGAACTTGCCTGAAGGCAACCACTTTCGCATACGTGGCAAAGGTTTTCCAAATGGTGGTTGCATCACAGTAGTTCGCAAAGCTGGTAGCAGTTACCAAACCTAGCGCGTACTGACTCTTTGTCCATTTACACAGCAGAGAACGTGAGAACCTTCACTACGTTTCGTCCTCCTTGCGATCCAACATGCATCGAAAACAGCGCGGACCGCGACAAGGCCTTCGAGTTGCTGGAGACCTACATCGAGCGGGAGAGCGACGCCGGAGAGCGGGAGGACTACGACCGCATCCGAGGGCTCGTGCCACATATGAGGAAACGCTTGTGGAAGGCGTCCTCCAGAGAGCAGGTTTGGCACATCCTCGTTCTCTTGCTATCTAGATGGCAAGCAGCAGTGCCGCTTACGAACCTGGTTTCTATGCCTCTAGAATGTGTCCCTCGATGTCTACGGCAGCTTGACGAGTGGTTTTATTGAGCCGCGGAGCCCGGAGCGCGACCTTGTCTCCTTCATCTCCCAGGAGGGAAAAAAGGCTTAAATGTCGGGAGCAAAGTTTGATTTCCGTGACGCATATAATCGCACCTTTCGGACCAGAATGAGACCTATAGGGCACCGTTTGACGATCTGTTCACTTCTGAGGAAGAAAAATTACGCGCTCTTCGTCACACCGGTTTGGTCGTGCTTCGGCAAAAGATTCCCGGGCTTCACAGGCATATATAGCCCAAATTCGTAGGAGATCGCATCCCCGCATGCCCAGGAGTTGTAGAGAGGTAAAATGCCCAAGCTATCGGAGATTGCACGAACACACACAAACACGTGGTAGACTTCGAACCCCGGGAGGACAACACCATATCTGCAGAAGGAGAACAACAGCACGCTGATCCGAGACCAGCTATCTATGAAAACCAGTTGGGGCCGGACCTATATGACCTGTGCGCCGTGGGATTAGTCATGCGCCGTGTGTAACCTGGCGGGTGTATATTGATGTTGGGTGGTGCAACCGACTCCTAAAACAACAGCAGACCGATTATCACAAACGGACAACACACAACTCACCTTCCCAAGTCCAGAGATCGCACCTACCGTAGAGAGAATCCGTCGAGGGCGTGAGGGGCTACTGCTTCTGTGCGTTATCACGATGGTCCCCCGCTGGATCGGTTCAGGTTGCCTACTTGCGCCGCACTACTGACTGTCTTCGTTGAATCTGTGCCCTGCCTGCTGTTGCTGCTCGCATCAAAGTCATGACCATGATCAACGGCTTTGTTGTTTTTGTCCCGTGATGTATGGTACATTTTGTGGACTGCTTGCTTTCACTTGGCGAGAAACTCGGCTTGAGACTAATGTGGCGGGCAAGTTGTGAGCCTGACGCAATATTTGCCATCTGTCTTGTCTCAATTCTATATCTACGCTGCTGGTCGTGCTCCTCGACGGTGTGATGTGTGATACGCTCGCCGCCAAGGTACATGCCACTTGCGTGCCTTTTCCAGATGCCCTGATGTGCGTCCGCACAGCGGGAAGACTTCACACTTTGTTTCTCTGCGGGTGTGTGCATGTGCATCAACGGCAAAGAAACAACCGCATGTAAGGTGCAAAATTTGAACGGGACCGCACATACAAGCATCGTCGCGCCCGTCGCACCCCTGCAACCTGTCCCTCTGGTGCACGCGTAGCTGCACCAGAAATGATTCACGCAGCTGTGTACCGGGATTCGTGCTCCATCAGGATCGCCGATAAGACTACTGCAAGGTGTTGAGTCGCTACCCAGCGGCTCATTACCCTGCCCTATCTAGTACGGAGAAGGGGATGGTTGTGAGGAAGGGTTGCAAGTTGTACCTTTGTGCTTTATAGTATCCCTCCACACTTCCTCGACCCGATGTAGTCGGATGAAAACGATTGGCGAAGGCATCCCCCGCAGAACTGGCAGCATCCTCCTCTTGGCGGTATAGATCCCGCACCTCTGGTGCCTCTAGGTCATCGCTTGTTTTGTCTAGCCGGCCACACGTTTCGAACCGTGACGAGATTCCTACGCCACTTGCGTGTTGCCGACGTCGCCTGTTCTTTTGTGTTCACGTGGCGAATGTTCTTGGCCCGCGGGTAGATATACAAGCATTTTGTTTTTGTGCATGTGTGCCGAAACGTGCGTCATGTCGCCCTTTGTTGTTGCAACTTGTTCAGGAGGATGCAACGGAACAGTTGGGCATGGACGATTTCCAGTTCGCGACGAAGGAGTACATTCCCAACCTGACGTCGCGTCCGTGGTGAGCCCTCCTACTGCTAAGACTGTTTTTGTGCCGCATGCTTTGAGAATCGTTCGTTTTCCTCCGCTGCTGCCCTTCATTTTTTACCCATGTCAGGCAATTGACTTTCTACGTAGAGAGGCTTCGGGCTATTTTGAAGGTTTGTGTTTTTGCACCGATGCCCTCGCTCAACAGAACAACGTTTTTTGCGAATTGGCAGCTTGCGCCTACACTGTATCAATCATTTTCCACTAGAGAAGGAAGATGTTTTATTGCTGAGAAATATGGAAGTGCCGATTCCGCAGGTCTGAGCGAATACCGTCTGCGGCAGAGTTTACCATTATCCCCGAACGTGGTGCGCTACTCTACGAGGATGGACAATGTCAGCAATAATAATTCGATAAAGGGATGGACTGGTCAGCACGGGTGTCCACATCGTTTTTTCTGTTTCTACTTTTGGCATGCGGTTGGTTTCATCTACGTGCCCCGTGGGGGGGGTCTCTGGATTTGCAACTATGCAACCCTTCGCGCAGCAACGTTGGAGCATCTTTCCATCCGGAGCACGAAAAGAACAACGATCACGCTTAGTCTTTCCAAGAATGGAATGAAAGGGCCAACATCACGTTGCACTCCATCCGCACTGCCGTGGTGGTCAAAAATCTTGCTTTCGTTTTTTGCTACACATGCGCGTCGCACAATATTTGTCTCAGTGGTTTGTGTGATCCAATATACATGCCGCATTTACTCCATAGTTCGTGTGTACACAGAGGGAAGAGAGTGCTGCACTCTTGTCGCATTAATAATCGAAGGCAAAGCACCGCAGAAGGGGTGGGCAGGGAGAGGGTCCCTTCTTCGTGACCACGGGTTGGAGTAAACGGCACACGTGCTGTGAGCGCTGATTTGGAGTGAAGACTACTAAGACAAATGAACACTTGCTTTTCGTTAGGGTCTGACTGCGGCTGACTCGGTTTATCGTGAAATGACGCTGCCTTATTTTCCGACATCCTGTGTTGCCCATAAATAGTGGCGCCGGTGCACAACGAGCGGACGCGTACCTCCCTCACTGGCTCGCCGGCATCTTTCCATGCCGGTGTGTAGCAACAACAATAAGTAGTACATCGTTTCCGATATACAGTCCGAGTATTTTAAGGATTGGTATCAAAGGCACAAGCGAGCCCGAGGGGCGGCCTTGCAGTCAAAACATTTTTTCAAGATCGAGTCCAACACGGAAATCGGCTCTCTTCACCTCTCCATAAGCGTTGCCAGGGCCATTGTCGTAGCGGTCTTTGCCATTGTCGTTGTCTTTGTTGTTCCTGTTGCTGCGGCTACTACCTGGTAGACGATTACTTTTCCCTCGACTTTGTTGTCATGGCTGTACCCTTGATGGACGGCACGTCGCAGGTGGGAGCCAGAGGTGTTTCCGTGGGCGCAGCAGCTGGAGGAAGCAAGCCCAATCATCCAGGTACGGCACGCTACACGTGCGCGATACCCCCGCGGCTTCAGCAATGTTAACAGTAAAGTGTCACCAAAGTTCGATCTCCGGCATTCGAAGCACTATTGTGTTCCCCGCAGAATAACCTACACAGGCTAGTGTGCCGTAGCGTGCAAGAGCTGACGTGGCGAGAGCAGCTGGTCATCGGGGGGGCGAAGCAATCAACCCTCACGTATCACGCAAGAAGGTTCACCGTTCTGTTATTAACGAGGGGACGTGCCCCCTCGATGCTAAGGAATACGGTAGGTGGGTAATTTAAGATATCACCCCCTGGACTGATTTTCAAAGCTCGATTCCTCCACAGCACAAAGAGCCGCAGCATCAAAACCGGCGGCGTTGAAGCCGTCTCCTCGAGGGCTCTCCAAAAACGTATCGTTCTATCTGTGCATCCTCTTCGTCATGGAACAACCGAGCTTCAAAAATCGGTCCAGGGGGGGTGGTAGCTTGTGTCACCTGCTTGCGGTATGGCTCGCCACTTGTTGTGCAAGGTCACCCCTACCCCGCCTGAGGAAGGGGCCCGAGCCTCGTGCGAACACATCCTCGTGATACAACGGGCGGAGATGTATTTCTAGCACGGAACGCTTTCAGCCTCGCGGTATCGTGCCGGTGTGTACATCTTGGTGTGGAAATGAATTGTTGCGTTCCTGAAAGTCATATCATTGTTGGCTTTAATTTTTGCTATTCTGCCGCCTAGTGCATTGGGCGGCCACTGCTGTCCTTCCTTCTCTTCACTCGCTCTGTAGCTTCCGCCCGTTACTCAACTTGCTACTACACCACTGCGTGCTCTCAACGAAAAAATAGGGAGGGGGGTTCGAATGTCTTCCCCTGCTGACCCCAGGTTTCCGAACAATTCATGAAACTACAATCCGAAGCTGTTAAATCATGTGAACCGCATTTTGTTCTGTCTACTCGGCGAACAAAGTCTCCTATTTGTGTTTGTTGTTGCAGGAGGAGTACCGGGCGCTCCGAGCCCAAGAAGCCTCAGATTCTCAGTTTAAGAACAGCAAAGAGGGAGGCTACACCAGCCAGGGTTGGACGCACATCCCTCTCGTCAACGCCAGGGAACCGGCAGAGATGTACGAGGCCCAGCGTGCTCACTTCCCCAAGACTCTCAAGGTGTGAGTGTGTGTTTTATTATTGGCTTCGACCGCGCTAACCGGGTGACCAATGAAAAGACGTCAGTCTTGTTGCGGTTGAAAACACAAAACACTTCATCTAAATGCCAAAAACTAGGACCCCGTGAGGGGGCGTATGTGTGTGCACCCGAGTACACCATGTGTAATTACTATGCGTGCCTTTTTATGAGAGCCAGGATTATAGGCTTGTTCCGCAGCCTGAATAAACCTGTTTGCTGTGAAATCGGGCGTGCTTTTTCGCCACGAAGAACGTCGTTTCTTGTTCCACAGTAGTGTTCCGATGACCTTGTCTTTTTTTGTAGTGGGGCACGTGAGGACTTGACTGCTGCGCTGAAGGTGCTGCTGGGTGGGATGGGTAGAGCCTGGAGGGATTGGCGTTTTCGCGACGACATTATCCGAACGAAATGGATACATCTTGTCCTTGTGCTGTTGCCGCCGCTACTACTTTTGCTGGTGTCTTGACCGTCAACGGCACCCTGTACGCATTCATGGCACCAGAAGAGGGCGCCAACGGTGGGGCGATCCGCCTGATTGCATTGGTACGCGAAGGCTTGACGGTGGAGCTTCTCCCGAAGTTCGGGCGGACGCCCTTCGATATTTGAATGAATAGTTGCACTTCTCTTCCTCCCAGGTAATAGTCGACCCCGTCGTCATATCTCCCTGCAGATATTGGAAGATCTTGGTATCCTCAGAAATGCGCGAGCGGTGTTGATCGGGCGACAGCAACCGATGTCAGGCATTAAAACGCACAGGTACGAAACCAAGATGGAGAAAAACATTTGGGGTTGGTTGGTGGCGTGGACCGAGAACAAGGCCAAGTGTAGAAGGCGGAGGTGTCGGAGTGCGGTGAGATTACACGTGTGTTTTTGTTTCCTCTTTTCTCAAGACTATTTGAAGCTGCGCTACGGACCGGACTGATACCATAACCATGTTTGCACGGGAAACGACGAAGCAGTGTTCGGATGCGAAGGTTTTCGGTGTGACCCCACCCCACTCTGCCGTTGCTGCTGCTGCTGCTGCTGCTGCTGCTGCTGCTGCTGCTGCTGCTGCTATTGTTCATTATCTCCCGTCGTTATGTTATTTTTCCCTACGCTGTTCTCTTGTGCCAAACTCAGCGACGGATCGAACGTGATCATCACCTGTCATCTGGGCTTGGACGTTCCAGGCGACGAGGAATGCCTCATGTGGGTAGGGGTCAACATGGAGAGCCGGGCGTGGCGCAACAACAAGTGAGAAAGAAGTGCGGGCACCGCCCAAGGTTGTCCTGCGTATATGTTGCGGGCGTTTCGCAGACTGCTTGAGTCACCTGCGGTATGGCTCGCCAGTTTTGTGCAAAGTCACCCTTCTATCAATAAGTGTGCGTCTTCGCTCGTCGGCGTGGATCCGAGTGTTTGGGGATATGTGCGTCATGTGTTGCGTTCTCCCATCAAAACACTATACAACGACCCCCCCCC